TTTAGTGTTTCTGGTTTAATATTGAGATCTGTGAACCATTTTGACTTGAGTTTGGTGCATGGTGATAGGCTTGGGTCTATTTTCAGTCTTTGGCAGGTAGCACCAGACGGCTTTTAATATTGTATTCTTGTGTTGAATTTCTGGAATCTGACTATAATATGCCTGCCTATAGACTTTTTTGGTCGTGGCCAATTGGAGTTCTATATGCTTCACTTACTTTCAATGGAATTTGTATTCTCCTGAATATCTGCTTGAATCTGCCTTATGAATTCCATTTCTTTTCTAAGCTAAGCATTCATGGCTTTCATAATTTTGTGATGCTCCTCTATTCTCTTGCCTGTATCTGCTCTAGAATCACTATGCATGGCTTTTATTGTGGACACCATCTCTGCTGTTATCTGAGAGGGAAATTCTGATTTGATTCTTTTTCCAGGGCCGCATTCAATTGCTTTGGTGTTATCAATTTGGAGAGGCCAGGTGGGTGGTTTTTGGATTGTCCCACCTCATTACCTCCTGGATTTGCCTTTAGTGATGTTTGGGGTTCTACCTTTTTTATGTTTCTTGTCATTTTCTTTTTAAAATTTTAATTCCTGGGGTGATGTTTGTAACAGCTCTTTAGAACAATTATGTCACATTTGGCTACAGTTGTACTAATAACAATAACAGGAAACACAGCTTAAAAGGTGACAACTGAAGTAAGCATTAACTTGCCATCTTTAACTGTATGAACTAAATTTGTGTTTATATAAGACAATCTAAAACAAGTCAGTAAATTATATGCTGTATACAAGTCCTTAGTATGTTAATTCTACCCTCAGTTTAAAATTTAAGATGGCTGAGGAAGAAAATAGAGAAGTGTAAGAACAGGAAAATATGTGAAGTCTGGAGGACAAAGAGGGATCATGCTACCTTTGGGAAATTGGTGGAGAAGACTGGAGGGAGAGAAAGAAGAATTCAATGAGGAACTGAACAGAACTACAACCCAAAAGAGGTGAGACACCGTGTTCATCCTCATATGAATTCAAATTCAAAGAATGAAGGAGAGAGAAAAGAAAGAAAAAGACAAAGAAAAACAAAATATTACAGGTACAAAACAGTAGAAAAAAGCAAAAGTACAAGGATAACAAAAACACAAGAGATTAGAGGAAGACAAAAAACAAACAACAACAAACAACAACAAAAGTGTACTTGCCTGTTTTTCTCTGATGTCACTGGCAAACAAGGTATGGAGATAGAATCCACAATTTGTGTTGATTTATGCCAAAACTCCTGTGAGCCTACAGGCAGTTTGTAGCCTTCAGTGCACCTTCCATGGCCCTGAGCCCAGCTTGAAGCTGCTAGATGGAGCCAGCAGTCATCTCAGTTTTGAGCTCTATTGGTCTCTTTCCAAAATGGCTCCCCACCAATTGTTCTCTCTTGTGAAATGACTGAGCCCTTTGCACGTATTGGGAGCTAGTGCAGGTCTTCATGACTTCTAGTGCTGTCTTTCATGTCCTCTGCTCCCCTCCACTGCTGTGTGTCTCAGTGGAGGCCTCTGGGGTCACCAGCACTCCCTGTGTATTGGCAAGTTTGTACTGCTCCTCTCACACACTTTTTCCATCTCAGGGTGAAAGCACCTTGCTTGCCTCCTTTTTCACTGAAGTTTCTCTCTTCATCCTCTCCATGGGCTTCAATTTGTACCTCAGTTTCTTCCTGGGTAGCAGGTGCTGATCTTCATCCTTATATTTCCTGCATTGCTATATTCCAATGTCTGGATGGCAACACTTAAAGAAGTTGTTTCTCTGTTGCTTAGCACTCCACCATCTTACCACGTGTCCCTCTCTTGGTGTCTTCAGGTTTTTAAAATTATACTTCAAAAGTATTTTTAACAGGACTGGAGATGTAGGCCAGTGGCAGAGCAGTTGTCTGTCACATCTTCCTGGCTCCCAGGAGAACTCTCCCATCTTCCTTGCACCATGCAGAGTCTCTCCTCATGGACTTTGCAAGCAATGTCCCCTATTTCCTTCAAGCTCAGTTTTATAACCCTAGAATCAAGGTTTAAGTCATCTGACCTGTTAGAATCATACATTAAAATTTGAATACTATTTTAGAATTGGCAAATGCATCCATCAAAATTTAGCCCAATACGAAGTGTTCTTTCCTTTCTGGTTTAGTAGACTAACAACTCTTTATAAACTCTGCATGCACTCTTTGTTTTGGTGGTACCAGGAATCGAACTCATGACCTCATGCTTGCAAGGCAGACACTGTGCCACTGAGGTATATCCCTGGCCCTTAACAACTCTTTAAAAATACATTTTAAAAAACTTTGTGATGTAATTCTCAGAATCTTTCAATTCTTTTAGTATATATGTCTTGTAAACTTGGACAGGCTTGATACTTATCATCCTTGAACATCCTAGGTTGTGACTCTAATCATAGATCTATTTATATATATATTTTTTTCAGTTTTTTTTTCCTGTACCGGGAATTGAAATCATGACGTTGTGTTTGCCAGGCAGGTGCTGTGCTGCTGAGCTAAATCCCCAGTCCTTCGTAGGTCTATTAATAATAAGAGTTGGTAGGTGGAGTGCACAAGAAAATTAGCATCCCTTTGCAAGGTAACTATCTCAGTTGAGATCATTACAAAGTATTGAGAGTAGTCTAAATTAAAAGGGTTAGTTTGTTTCTGATGGGAAAAGTTCAGATTTAGAAATTCAAGATACACCTGAATTTGTCTAGCTGTCCCCATTCCAAGTCTCTTTCTTGTTCATTACTCTTTCATGAGAAAAACCCATTGATCATGAATTCAACATCTGTAATTATTTTTCAACCTAAAAATCAGATATTTTATCTGATTTTTATCCAGGCTAACCTTGTTAAAAATCTTTTAAAAATATTTTCTTTTAAATACTTGTAAGAAAAAAATACTTTTAAAGTAACAAGACATGTAGTCTTCATATTATGGCCTGAACTGATAATTTAAGAACCCTACATTTGTTATTTTATTTAATTACACTACCCAGTGCAGTCAAAAGTGGCCACCTTTCCCATACAACTTCTCTATTGTCACCATAATGATTTAGCATTTAGCACAGTAATCAGTTTGCTTGCTAGAGACTCACCTCAATAGGCAATTAATTCCAAGTGGGCACAAGTGATAACCTGAATACTTTAATTTGTTGTTGCTTGCCAGGGAGCACCAATACCTGGGTTTCTTGAGGATATGGGATTATTATTACCCTTAAATATAGCTAGATCATATAATCTATCTTAAATTTCATTCTTGAGTATCTGTTGGCTGTAAACTCTTCTGATACAAAACATAATACGTTTCTAGGTTCATAGGATATAACAGAAACAATTCCATATAATTTAACCAGGAAAATATTTAATATGGATCATTAGTACTTACAACATCATTGGAGTAGGTAGAGAAGTAAGTGTTCCACAGCTATGATCCAGATGTTGGTAAACCATTTCTGCTGCTGCAGAATCCAGAACCCAAACAGTTAGTGCTTAAATACTGGAACACACAATGTGACTGTTGCTCCTGGTAATACTAGAATGCTGAGGCTTCCTTTCATAGTTACTTCACTACATGTTTTCACGTTCTTGCTTGCCAAAAGACACAAACAAATTCAGCAGAATACCTGATGCTGTTGATGCCTGTCTTATATCCCCTAGATACATCCCAGGTGGATCCTCTTGATCCATCATATGCAGTACAATAAAACCTTCAGAGGCTGACAACGTTTTACTTCAAGTACTTTTGTTTTTCTGCCTCTCTGCCTGATGCTTCTTTGATGCCATTGGAGTTTGTTCTGTCCATGCACAAGGCAACCTAGAACTTCTATAAGTTTAATGCCTCACGGGTAAATCCTCAATGAAAATGAGAGTTGGGAATCAATGTACTTTCTCCTTCCTTAGAGTATATTATAGTTTATATCTGGATGTTTCTCTAAATCCTCATGTACTCATAGGTGGGGCTTTTGGGAAATGATTGGGTCATGGGAGCATGATACTTATCAGTGAAGTAGTTCCCCAATGAGTTTATGGCTCAATATGATGTTTGGAGGTGGAGCCTATTTAGAGGAGATAAATCACTGGAGCATGGCATGCATGGGTTTATCTCTCCCCTGTTCTTCCTTTCATTTCTCTCTGCTTCATAATTCGTAATTGCCATAATAAGCAAGCCTCCTTTGCCATGCCCTTCTGCCATGCTGACATGCTGTGGAGCCAACGAACTATGGACTGAAACCTCTATAAATTGTTAGCCAAAATAAACCTTTATTATTTTAAATTGGGGTGTTTAGTATTGTATCTTAGTGGCTAAGAAATTAATTAAGACAGTGGGATAATTTAGAAGCCTAATCCCTCCTAATTCCTTGGAAAATGGAGAAATTATTAGTAAGATTGAGACAATGTACCCACAAATGTTACCTGATTATTAAAATTTATAATTTATTGCCTTTTTGTTCTTTCCTTTATTAATTTTCTCTGCTTATTTGTGCTTTTTGAGATTACTATTAAAATAAATAAATTGCATCTAAGTTATTGACTCAGAATTTGCTTTTGGGAGAAACCACCACCACTACTGCTGTCATGCCATAACATCACACTTACTACAACTCACTTGTGCAGGGCTGAATGAACAACAGTTTATGAAAATGTACTGGTTTATATAATAGGTTCAGCACAGGAAACAAATTAGAAAAACCAAATGTTATTAAAACCTTAGTTTAGCATCCATCTTAGGTATAAACTCTGAATGACTGAGACATTGTCTTCTAGGATTCTTTAAGTACACTGAACCAAAGGCCATTACAATTTTGCTGGGTTTCCAACAGGTAGAATCTATAGATAACATATTATCATTGAATATGTCCATAGAACATTTGGTAATCAAAAGTAGATATAACTTTGGCCCCTCTCATAAATGACTCTAGTGGTTCATTTAAGAAAAATTTTTAATCTCCTTACAACTCTAGGGTTATATGATAAGAAGTCCTGCTCCCATGGAGGGTACACAGAAAACATTTTCCTGAAACTAAAATATGACTTGTTCCTGATAATTTTAGAATTCTTATGGCTGTATGGAAGCATGTAAGTAAAGAGACCAATGCAATAATTGGGCCTTACTTAGCACAAGGAATTAGAGTTGTTACTTTTTTTAAAAGGTTCATGAGACTTACTGGGACTCTTGGTCTTCTATATCTGTTGATAATATTCAGTGGCAACTGTAGCAATTGTAGTTCAATAAAAGCCAGTCCCTAGAACTTCTATTCTTTTACACACGAAGCTATTACACTACCAGGTAAGCAATCTAGATCAATTAGAAGTGTTTGCTATGGATGAGGGGGGCCAAGAGAGCATAGTAGAGGAGGAGGAAAATGGATATCAATGACAGTTGCAGGACTATGTATAGCATTGGGGACTGGAAAACCGTATAATTTTAATCCTTTTTTTTTTTTTTTTTTTTTTTTGGTACCAGGAATCAAACTTGGGACCTTGTGCTTGCCAGGCAGGCACTTGTGCTGCTGAACTATATACCTTTTCCAACCATATAATTTTAATCTTTTGAAATTATTTTGCAATTGGTTGTTACCTTGAAGCATCGGTAATAAAATGGCTTAGTTCTAGCACAAGTGGTTGAGTGATAGAAGGGATGAGCTATAGCAGATATATCAATCCTGCTTGTAGCTCTTTGGCTCACCTTAAAGTTCAACTTTATTGCTGGTAAATTTCTTGAACATCGCTATCTTTCTATGCAATACTTTCTTCTATGTGTGGGCTTTAATGCCAAGATTTGTTATGTTCACAAACAGGACATTTCAGAATTTCCAGGACTTAAATACCTTTTGGGTAAACACTCAACCAATGATGGTTGAGAAATGATGAGACAAATGTTGTTTCTGTATGAGACAACTCCTTAACTCATGTAAGGTTGCTACAGTTGCTAGTGGAATTAAGCTTCATTTTTACATACTGATAACACTTTTATTATCTCACCTTTTCGTGGCAATTCTCACTTATCTGTCTCAATTTATCACTCCTTCTCTGTGATTCCCAGGTTCACTTCTCAAACAAATTATTTGCACACAAGACCCTGTTGTTGAGTTTTGTTTCTGGGAAACTCAAGGTAAGATAGACAGAAAGATGGAGTCATCTTTAATTTTCCTTCAATAATTGTATGTGTATATAACCAGCAAAAGCTAGTATGATCCCATAATTGTACATGTAAAGTTATCTAAAATACATGGTTTTTGATTTTCCATAATCTCCATTTCACTAGAAGGAGACCAACTGCAGGCCAAGTGAGCCAACCCAGTAAGCCCACATTACTTAAAGTATGGTCCAATAAATTGTTTACAAATAAAAAAGGAACTAAATTATCCTGTTCTTTCTTTGCTGAAGGTAGAGTTCTTTTAAAATATTTATAAGTTAAAATATGGTGATTTCTCATTTATTAGGTCTTAACTTTAAACAGTAATCTTAGCATTTCAATTATTCCAATATTTTTGACACAATTAATTTGGATTTAAAATAAAATATTGTTGAAGTAGGAAATATCTGTAATTATAGAAACATAAAATAAAAAATTTTGACACTCAACAACAAAATGCCTAAAAATGTATATATAACATAGACATCTATACTTATCAAACTAGACTTTTAATTTTGTTCTATATGTTAAAAAAGAATTTTAAGTAACACCTGAACATTATATTTGTCTATGTTCTCTATCTCATTTTGATAGTGTTCATTATTACTCTTTTACTTTTATTTGATAGTATTACCAATATCCAGTTCCCCACTTCTAGGCATATGCCAAGGCTGGGCTTCTCTGCAAACCTTCAAATAAAGAATAGATATTTGTCTTAGTTTTGTTAGTGGAAGTGATCAGTCACATCAGGAAAAATACTGCTTTGCTAATATTCCAATCTCCAACTCAATCATCTGCTGAAGCAATTTAATGTTGATGGTGAGGTGCAATTAACTCTGGATAGTTTGGATTGTTGATCCATCACATGAAGGATAGCTTCCACTGAGAGTTATCTGGACTGAAACAGACTTTGTAAAAGTGAGAAATAAATGTTCACTTCCTCAAGACACTGGGATTTTCAAATTGTTTATTACTGTAGCAAAATGTATACAAATTCTGAACTATGTCATATGTTATTCTACTTAGACTATTTTATCTAAACTTTACATATTCCTTATTTCTGCCAACTACCAGTTTATGAAGACAATTACTTATTGACTATATTAGCTATAGAAAATACTGAATAAACATCTTTCACCAATAAATATCAATAATTTGAAAAATTCTAAATTAAGGAACAAGAGGAGAATAGATGTCAGGTGGGCAAAATAAAAAATTCAATGAATATCAAAGGCAGTATCACAATGACTACCTCCACTGTGATCATGTTTGAAATTAATTACAAATAATAACAAAAGTAATTTTGAAGGTATTTACTTGCAAATTAAAAGTGTTTTAGCCAGGTGTGGTGGTGCATGCCTGTAATCCCAGCACTCGGGAGGCAGAGGCAGGAGGATCATTGCAAGTTCAAGACCAGCCTGGGCTACAAAGTGAGCTCAAGGCCAGCCTGCACTGCACAGTGAGATCCTGTCTCAAAAAGACAAAAAAATAAAAAAATAAAATATAAAAAAATGTTTTAATTCAGCAATAGATCCAAGGAGATGTCATAATGGAGATATATATAATAATTTTGGTTCACAAACTAAATTCTCTCCACAATTCCATGATTCTGGATGCAAATTGAACTGGATGAGAACTGAACCAAATTTCCCCGTAAGGCCAACACTGAACCTAACAAAACCTAACCAATCTAGATAGATGGAGATGGATATCATACACACACACACACACACACACACACACACACATAGAGTAATACTTGTACATATCAAAAGTTTTGTGATAGAGCTGAAAGGCTAATGGTAGAATAGTTGTCCCCATAAAATTTAACTTATTACAAATTAAGATCTATTATTTATGAGTTACTTTAAAGGGTATACTTTAAGGATATAAAAATGATAAAACACTTTAAACTTTTATTTTAAATTTTTTCTTCCAGCATCAATTTCCTTATGTGTAAAGGTTAGAGACTCTCCTGAAGACTCTTCCATACCTATCATATTGATTCAATTGCTTTCCATTATCAATTTTTACATGTCTTTGAAATTATGGATGAAAATTAAAGAATATTCAACATATTTGACAGTCATGTTTCCCAGTATGAGTTCTCACTTGCTAAGGCAGAAGAAAGACTAGAAGGTTCACCCATATTTTTCTATATTTATGAGTTCTTTCAGTGTGTGTACTCATAAGTATACTGGTGTGATTAATTATAATTTAACACACTTCTAACATATGTCTTATGTGGTTTCTCTCTACTGTGAATTTTCACATTGATTTGAAAGAATTAGATATAAATTAGCATTTTGCTGTACTCTATATATTAATAGGATTCTCTCTAGTGTGGATTCTCTTACCTCAGGAATGAGGAACAGTTGGAGTCTGTGAAGGTTCTCTAGAGAAACATAAAAGGGAGAAAGTATGTGTTTGTGTGTGTGTGTGAGTGAGTGAATTGGCTCATATAATTATGAAGTCTGAGAAGTTTCACATTATACCACCTACAAGTTCAGTGTGGTGGTACCTGCCTATAATCCCAGCACTCTGAGGCAGGAGGATTGCTGCAATTTCGAGGCCACCCAGGGCTGTGTAGTAAGTTTAAGGCCTGAACTACATAGCAAGACCCTGCCTCAGAAAAACCAACCAAACAATAATAATAAACTTCCCCTAAAACAATATGCTATCTACAAGCTGAAAACCAGCAGAGTTATTGGTGAAGTATGGTCCAAGTTAAAAGTTCAGAGAACCTGGACCACTGGCTGCTGGTAAAAGGTCCTTGACACTGAAGGCAGGATCAGCTGGAGTTCTTATGTTTAAGGGCAGGAGAATATTGATGTTTAAGCTTCATATATCACAGTGAACTCCTTTCCTAAGCTGTTTTGTTCTATGTGGGCCCTCAACTTACTGGTTGGTTCTTGCTTCCCAGAAACACCCTTTCACAGAAACACCCTTAGAAACACACCCAGAAATAATATTTTATCAGGCATCTGCACATCCCTTAACATATTGAAGGGGATATTTAAAATTAACTAATTTGTGGCTTTTCTCTCCAATATGCAAGATATAGTAAAATGTAAAGACTAAGTGATTTGCCTCATTGTTTACAATAATAGGGCCTCTTGCCAGTAGTTGCATTCATCTGGTTATGAAAAGGCAAGTTTTGAGGAATAAGTGAAAATTTTCTCACATTCATTTTATTCATAATCTTCTCTCCAATATGTGTTCTTACATTTACATTAGAGATGTAAAAATAAAGGCTTTCTCACATTGTTTTACATTCATGGAATATAAATTCAATATGAGTTCTCATATGTGCCATAGTGGATAAGGGGCAGCTGAGGATTTTCCCAAAAATTTTCCATTCAAAGAGTTTTCACATTTTCTGAGAAATCAGAAATTCAGTGATTTTTCTTATATTCATAAGGTACATTTCCATTGTAAGTTATTATGTGAACAATGGATAAATACATTTTGTGTATACATAGTATTTATTTCTACTGGGAATTTTACATGTTGTACAATACAAGGAACATTTTCAGGATTTCTGACATCAGGAGGGTTTGTGTATGCTGTGTGATCCCATGTGTCTTAACTGAACAATCAATGAATGCTTTCTCACATTTCCTGAATTTCTATATTTGACCTCCAGTATGAGTTCTCTAGTGAACTAGATCAGGAATCTCTAGTGATTTAGATCAGGAATATGGCTGAAGTCCTTTCCACATTGTTTACCTTCATTATGCACATCTGTTGTTTGGAATATTTTCTATGCAGGGGACATTAAGGTGTCTTGAGAGATTTTTCAATTTTATTACATCCATAGAGGTTCTTTACCATATGAATTCTCAAATATCTTCCTAGTGTATCGTGTTGATCTATGCTACTGCAAAAAGATGAGGATTCCAAAAATTGGAAGGATTTCACATTTTAGGTGATATATAATATTATTTTAAGGAAGAGTATAATAAAAATGACTATCTTATTATCATTAGAAGGAATTACCTTGAAAGTTCTATAGTTAAAATGGCAAGTGATGACACTGAAAAAACAGAGTAACAAAAATATACAATTCAGCAAATAAAATAGTAAATTAGAAAGAAAGGATATGATAAAAAATGAAAGACCCTTTTATATTACACATTACTCTTTTATATTAAAGCATAGTCTTTTATATATGCTAAAAAAGAAAGATACTTTTATATTATACATTACACTTTTATATTAAAAGCAGAAATAACAGTGGGTTGAAAAGCAAGATCCAACTCTATGTTGATCATTAAAGATGCATTTTGAATATTTAGACAGCTTGAAAGTTAAGCTATGGGAAATATACATTATGCATTCCTTAAATGTAAAAACAATGTTCAGGAAATATATTAATATCAGGCAAAGAATAACTATACAGTAAAAGGGACATTTTATTATGAAAATGTTTAATTAATCAATAAAATAAAAATAATCATATACATGTATGAATTTAATAACAGAGCACCATTACACGTGTTTATTATCTGCTAGAACTGAAAGAGAAATAAATAAATTCATCAACATACTTATATAAGTCAGCAGTCCATTTCTGTGACCATCTGTAACAGGAAATGGCCTCCCCAGCCAGTATAATTCAATTCCTTAGTTACCCCGGTAATAGGTCCTGTTCCAGTTCTGGTGGCCCCTGTCTCTTACAAATGGCTGGTCACTGTGATGTATACCTGGTCACTATGATGCACATTGTATAAGCCAACCCCAAATTGACAAGCTATTTTGCCTTGTATTTCCTGCTTACTTATCTCATACAAGCCCTAAACGACTGAGATCAGGGCTGGATATTCTGGGAATAATCCCAATCAATGCCTGTCAATATAAAATAAATCTGCCTCAAAATCCTGGGTGCCATTTCAGTGTTTGTGCTTGCCATAGCACATGTACCTGATATAAACATCTTGAAGGAATAAGGGTTTATTTTGGCTCATAACCACAGATGTTTCAGTCCATGGTTGGCCAGCTCCAAGGCAGAAACTTCATGGCAGAGAATAGCAGCTCAAGTCATTGCATTTGGGAAGTGGAGATCATGAGAACAGCCACAGATGAAGAGGCCAGAGACCAAATATAACCTTCAAGGTCATACCACTATGATCCACCACTATGGTCTTTACTCAAGTGGTTTTCCTTCAGCCAATCAAGTGGATGATCATGATTGACCACCACAATAGTTGAAGAATTTAATACATTTTTCTGGTAACCTAGTAACCACAAAAAGTGGAGAAATTCAATAATAAAGAATATTTATATATTATCAAGCAATTTGATTCAATTGATACCTATAAATCATCACATTCAATAAATGTATAATACACATTTTTTCAAGTGTACATAGAATCTTACCATCATAACTCAAATATTGATTAATTTTTAAAAGCAATTCAATATATTTCAAAATATTGAAATTATAGAGTACATTCTCAGAAGAAAATACAAATCTTTTTCTTTTTTTTTTTTTTTTCCCCCTCTGGTACCAGGATCCGAACTCATGACCTTGTGCTTGTCAGGCAGGCGCTTTTGCTGCTGAGCTAAATCCCCAGCCCCCAAATCTTTTTCTATATCATAAACTGATATCTCTAGGGCTGAGGGTATAGCTTAGTGGTACAGCACTTGCCTGGCAAGTGCAAGGTCCTGAGTTCCATTCTTGGTACCAAAAAAATGATATCTCTATCTACTTGGAGATTCTACCTGACTCATGGGTCAAAGAAGTAATCAACAGAATCAACAGTAATCAATAGAAAAATTGTAGATAAATTCAAACTTAACAAAACACAGCAAAATTGATTAACTGCACCTTCTGTAATGTATAGAGAAAAATTTATAGTTTTCATTTATATTTTTATATATTCTAATTTATATTAGAAAAGAAAGGCATAGACCACACAATCTAGGCTTTCAGAGAATCTAGAAATAGAAAATTAACCCAAGAAACACAGCAGAAATAATTGATAACTGTAGAAATCAATGAAACAGAAACAGAAACAATAGGAAAAGTAAAAAAGCCAAATATTTGTTTTTAGATTTAATAATATTGATATATTAGCATCAACACTAATAAAGACAAAATGAGATAAAACACATATTAATAATATCAAATATCTGCATCAGTACAGATCTTAAATATATGAAGGGAAGATAAATAATATTATAAATAACTTTCTGCCAAGAAATTCAATCTGTTAGATAAAATGAGAAAAGTTGTTATGAGAAACACAAGATACTAACTTGAAGAAGAGATAATGGAAAATTTTGAATTTGTAGCATAAGAGATTTAATTTGCATTTCAAAATCTTCCCACAGAGAAAAAAACCAGCCATGGATTGCTTATGTGATAATTTTAACAAATCTACAAAAATAAATATCTTACATGAACTTTTACAAAATATAAAAGGGCAAACAATTGTCAACTCATTTCATTAGACTGGTATAGTCCTATAACTGAAACTTGACAAGGCCATTAGAAGAAAAACATACACATCTCCTATGAAATAGATACATATGACTCAATAAGGATGAATTAGATGCAGAAATTCTCAAGAAAAATAACTGTTTGAATCTACCTAATAGCTATTTTTTTCACATTGCTTCATTTCACTTTGGAGAAAAATATATGAACAACTTGGTAAGTCATGGTCATACAGGTGCAGTTCCATTCCCAGTCTGCAGGACTCCAGCTCATTGAATCTGCTGGACATCTTCATCTTCTTGTACCATTGCTGTTGCTCCCCACCATATTTAGAACACTAAGGGACTTGTTTCAGATTTCAGTACTTAAATTCTAGATGTAACTAACATTGCCACCACAGTTATATTCATGTGAGCTTGCAAGCAGACAATAACCAATGACCAGGGCAAGATTGAGGCAAGTGTCTCAGATGCAGATTTTAAGGGATCAAAAACTTTGTGGTAAAGATAAATTGATTTAATCCAATATTCTTTAAAAAATGAAATTTAATTCAAAATTCTGTGAAAAACCAAACATCAGATTTCTAAATAATGACAAGAACCATGATACCCTTATGCATATTGGCTTAATGACCTCACCCTAATCCAAACCATCTTAAATATTGCGAACTTTATTGATTCCTGTCCTCAATAAGAAAAGTATTGACCATGTTCCCTTCATAGGTCCCTTTCATATGATGTTTCTTCAAGGCCAAAGAGTGACAAAAATTCTAGATCCAATAATGTTGGCAGTTATTAAATTCAAGAATAGGAAACACCCTTAGTTTGCAAATATGACCTCATATATTATATTACTAATGCCATCTTTTTCACATACATTCATGCATTAAACTAAACATATCTTAATGTAGAAAATGTATGCAAAAATTTATACATCTGGTATGCATCTCTGCA